TGTTAATGGAGCTGTTGAAGAAGAACGAAGCAACAGTGCAAACTCTTGTCAGCGATTGCCAACATATGCTCGTGCTGTTGATACACGTAACCCATTACTAATGGTATCTTGTCTAATAAATCGTGTTTACTGGATGTAGAATGATGGATAGATTACTCTTATAGGAATTAGTGGAATCGGTGATCGTTAATGACCTGTGTAGTCGTAGTTGTTCATCTCTTTAAGAGGGTTTTCATTCACTAATTTTAGACGAGAACCAGCGTTCTAAAGTGCCCTTGTGTAGACGACCATTTGTTGTTTGTTTAAAATGTTTGATTACGTTATCACTAAATAAGTTTACAAGCTTGTTAACTCGGGTGCTCTATCAGGGTGCCACCTTTCAAGAACTTCTCGTGTTTTGTGACCACGTAGTCAAAAGGTCTTCGACTTCAGCAGTGATAATTCTTCCAGCTTCACCCTCTTCCTTCCTGAAATAAGTTTTTAAAGGGTTAGGAAATTATAGGGAAGAGAAAACGTTGCTAAGAAAAAACAAACAGTTTATGTTAGCTTTACAAAATCGATCACAATAAACAAACAAAGGACGTTGCGGCGATTAGTCTTAATCAGCACATAAAGAACAACACAGTACACATACACAAATATGCTCTAATTATAAAATGACTACATAGGACTCTAATGTTCAAAATAAATGATACTCATCTGTGTCCTTGGCGAAAAACTTCCTTCAAGAGGATGTCAAGGACAGGTACTGGCCTATATCTAGGAAATGGAGGTGTAATGTGTCTCCTCCACACTCAATCACTCTCGTGCAGATTCAACACTGACTTTGTTGTCTAGGTGTTAAGTCACAGTTCATCCTAGCCAGACGGCACTTCTCCCCACGGCCACACAACTTTAAATGACGGTCGACAACAGCTGACGCATTCCACAGGTTTATTGTCAATGTAACACAAGCGACACGAATCAACAGATGAACTAACCTACGCCATTCTTGCTCACGCATTGAGTCTCTAGCCATGCTTCAGACGATGGACACTGGCATGTACACGGCTGGCTCAACAAACATGCCGTGAAACACAACGGCTGGCCTAAACGATCATTCAATAGCGCTGCCTGTCTTGTCGTTTAGCACTAACATTAATTCGACTCTGATTCAGATCCACGTGTACACTTCTCACTCTGGATTCACCTTCACAGATTCAGCTTCACATCCTTCCAATCTGGAGCCCAGTCACCGAATGACCACCTCATTCTCAATCTCCCAGATCTCGCATTCACGCGTGACTTACTCACTCTTGTCTTTTCACCATATCTCCGTGAAACCCATGCTATCAGGGACTTACCAAATTCTGTCAGTCATACCTGGAACTGGAACTGGATGTAGAAAACAAAAATGTCAAATTTGGACCTCTTTCAGCTGCCTGCTGGCCTGCTATATTCAGGTCAATTTCTTTGCGGTTTGATTTTTGTTTGATTCCTTGTGGCGAATATTTTCGCCTAATTTTTGGTTCCTTGCTGTATCAGCTTTAATTGGGAGTGGATGTTTTACTAGTCCTGAGAAGGACTAGTAGAGTTTGCCTGTGGCGGCCTCGATCGGGTTTGGGTGGCAGTCAATCTGGTTGTTGTTCAAATATGCCTGGCTGTTCTATATGGTTGGCTGGGCTTCCTCGCGTCAGTGGGCTGGCTTGTTTCCTGGAACTGGGTGTCATGGCGGCTTGGTTGGTTCTGATTGGCTGCTGGCTTTGTCATGTTACGGTGGGTTGTCTGGTAGATCATCAGTGTCAAGTATCTGGTTATCGAGAATCGGGCCACAAATGGCGAGTCAGCGATCGAGCGGAAGATGAGAGGTGCGTACGACTGGGCTGTCTGCGCTCGACTGTGATGTATGGTGATGGAGGGAGGGGTTGGCCAATAAGGCGTAACCAGGGTTGGGTCGTGGTATGACATTGGTCCATCCGCATGGAATAAAAGTGGTGCCTGTGTTAGCGAACAAATAGCAACAGACAGGCAGGCAGACCGGCAGACAGGCATGCTGACAGACAGACAGACAGACAGACAGACAGACAGACAGACAGACAGACAGACAGACAGACAGACAGACAGACAGACAGACAGACAGACAGACAGACAGACAGACAGACAGACAGACAGACAGACAGACAGACAGACAGACAGACAGACAGACGGACAGACGGACAGACGGACGGACGGACGGCCGGACGGATGGATGGATAATTGGATGGATGGATGGACGGACGGACGGACAGACGGACAGACGGACGGACAGACAGATAGATAGAGAGAGAGAGAGAGAGAGAGAGAGAGAGAGAGAGAGAGAGAGAGAGAGAGACAGCATAACTAGTCATTCCTATATATGTACGGATTATGTTCGAATTCCAAGGTACCACTGAATACATCTTCACTGTCAATGACTTGTATTTATTGCAGGGCGCTGCGGTGGCTTTGATATTCTGTTTCTTTAATGGCGAGGTAAGTGTAAACTAACACACAATCTCTCCCTATATATATATATATATATATATATATATATATATATATATATATATATATATATATATATATATATATATATATATGAGTGCATGCGTGTCTATTAATATTAAGCCACCAATAGACGGTCTAAAAAGAGTGGCAAGATTACTAGAACAAATGCATATACAGAAATCTGCGCAAGCAGGAGCACAGACCACTCCTGCAGTAAATTGTCATCATCATCTTTCATCAGTATGCCGCTCACAGAACGTCGCTCTCTTCAGGGCACGTCTGAAGTCTCTCTTTCTCTACCCAATTCTCTATCCTTGTGTGCTTGTGTAGCCAATGTATCTTCAGTGTCCTGTATCCACATCCGCTGAGGTCGGCTTCTGTAATGTTTTCCGTAAACTGCGCACTCCATCACCGTTTTCTCCAGACAACTATTGAGCTTGAAACCTCAGATTTCGGGACAGAATGCTCTTTATGAGCCAGTTCTACTTGATGTTCAGGTCATGCAGGAGGTCGACGTTTTTCTTTTTTTGTTTGGCCTACGGTATTCTAAGAACTTTTATGTTGAATTTCATTTCAAAAGCTGGGATTTTCTTCTTCAGACTGACTGACTGACTTTCTACCCCACCAGGACATCAAACAAGCGATAAACACCCGATGACACAATGTGCCACCAAGTGGGTGAGGATCACCGTGGAGAGGTCCCAGAAACCGCGTTCAACAATTAGACCATATTTATGACCGGGCTATATTGCGGCCCCTGGCAAGAGCCAGAGTAGGGCTTCAAATAACGAAAAATTTCATCCTAAAAGGGAAGGGAATAAATATATTTTTTGACAATTTCTTCTTCAAAGACTGCCTGAGAGTCCACGACTCACATCACAGAACATTTCAGTTACAAACTGAGCAAGTACCTAATGCAAAAACGGAATTTTTTAAAATACAAATCCCAATGGATTTTAGAGCAATGTAATCTCTCACATGTTTAGCTTTCGTTTCTGCCACCGCCTTTCCCATTCATACCAAAATTGGATCATTCCCTGTATACTTTTTAAAGTGATTTTGTTATAGCCTATCCACTTTTTGACTCTAACGTTGTACTCTGTGGCGATCAACGTTGCAACTGTAGTTTCTGCCGTCAGTGACCTCTCTTGCTCCTTCAGTCATTAAAGTCAGCGGGGAGGTCAGTGTTTTTAACAGGTGCAGACAGCTAATCTTCACAAAAGCTGGTCTACCTCATCGTTAAAATTCAGAACATTTATTCTGTTATAGTAAGGGAGTATGTCTTGTGCACCACAGACGATCGTTGACCCTTTATTGTTAATATCCTATAGATATTGTCAGATGACGCAAGAAGACAGAATCCACTGCCGACTGCAAACAGGAAAAACTATCTAACACATCCTGAACGTGTACGAGTGAAACCACTTGCACTATAGGTCTGTAAAACTGGTGGCACAAATCCCACATAGGAACCAGGATGTACAGTTATTATAGCAGATACAGTTTACTAGTCAATATACGAAGCCAGTCATCATCACTTGATCACATACTTCTTTCTTATAGAACGGACTTTCCCCCCCCCCCTTTTTTTTTAACCCCACCCCCACTCCCCCACCCCCGCCCCAACATTAAAGTGTTTACATAATAAAGAAACTAATCAATATCAAGACACTTACAATAAAAGCTTTCAGTCGTAACCAACCACGAATCTGAGCCGCTGACTGGTTTATAATGAGCCAGTACAATATTCTGTCGAAGGTTCAGAGTCACTGAGTCAAGGAAGGGAGTGCTGTCTGGTAATGAAAGAGCCCGATCAATTCACTGTTTAGAGTTTTTAGCTGCAGATAGAAGTGTCGTGAGTTGTTTAGTACAGCACAAATTAAACATTTGTACTGTTGCTCGGAATCAGTACTGTCTTCGCTTGATGAGTTTTGGAGAACTGTTTAGTAAAGCATGAGTCGAGACAATGTATACACAATAGTCAGTGTTCGTTGAAGCTATGTCTAAGTGCTCAATAAATGAGGAGTCCATGCGATTTACTTTTTTCAAATAGTCATTGCTGAAACAAGCGAGAAATTTCTAATACAGCTGGAGATGGGTCCAGAACATGTTTCATAGTTCAGCTAATGGAGAAGTATTTGCGACATCACGTGTCAAGACTCAGGACACTAAAGTTTGTCTGTATCGTAGCTGTAACTTAAATTACAATCTAGGGCTTAGTACAATAAACTATTCTCAGATGTAATCATACTGTGCACAATGTCGTGCCAAGGTATTGCTTTTTTTTTTTTTTTAGTGAAGAAACATTGTCAATCCTAGTTTCTTATGCGTACAGGTGTTAACTGTGCTGAAAAGGAAATGGGACCAGTGGCGCCACAACTATGATCCTGCATTCGTGGGAAGACCATCCTCAAACAGCACAACAGTGGTTATCGCCCTTGATGACGCCACCACTGCAAGTATCGTTTTTAAAAACGGAACCACAAAAATGTGCTCTCAAAACGACAAGGTATTGAACGAACAATTATTTGTTTCTTATACAATAAACTTACACAAAAGCATACATGTGGGTGGTCGCAGTGTCCGCCTCATACTGTATATTGGCAACATTCAGGATTTCTTTACATTTTTTTTAACCACCGAGTTAACAATTTTGACATAACTCCGTCTGTGATAGTCATCACCTGAATAAGTTAACATACCTGTTAACAAGGGCTCTATTGCTCTGCCATCTCTCAACAACTTCTTGCGTTTTTGGCCACATGGTCAAAAGATCTTGGGTTTCAGCAGTGCTAATCCTTTCATCTTCCCCATCCTCCTTCCCGTCAGAAATGTCATCTGCAATCTCTTTAGCTGCTGGTGAAGGCGCTACAGCTCTTGCGTTGTCAGCTCAGTCGTGTGATCGGCACGTGCCATGCAATCTTCTTCCAAGGCAGAATTCGAGTTCCGAAGCTAAATTTACTAGAGAATTTCGTTCGGATTCCAAATTATTCGAGGCCTGATGTGTTCTAAATCCAATGTACCAGTACCAAAACACTGCTGAAATGCTGAACGCTTTATCATCTATTACATACAAGGAACCAACTAGCCAAATAAGAACCTTAAATACAGCCTTACTAGAGAATATTGGCATCCTTTGCTTCTTCTACTCTGCCAAGTTTCGTGATGTTCTGGGTCCTCCGGGCTCTCATTATCCTGGCAAAAATAAACCAAGTTCAGGAATCCCATAAATCACAAAGGAATGTGTGTACGGCCAGTACTTCCAGGGAGGGAGAGCCGCAATCTGGACGCTATGGTACCTTTATTTATAACCCACAACCCCCCCCTTTCCCCCCCCCCCCCGCCGCCCATTTTTTCCTTCTTTTTCTTTAAAGACAATTTAAGGGACCTTACTCTTGCCACCACATGCTAAGTTATTAGGACTAAGCTGCTCTCCCTCCAAAGATGGACATAAATTATAGTTTTAAGTACTGTTGTGCCTTGGTATCCATTTTCAACAAAATTCAACTTGGTGTACGTCCTGTATAGATGCGTAAATGTTGCTTGATATACGATTTTTTTTTTTTTTTCTGGTTAGAAGACGTAACGTGTGCTATCTCGCTCTCTCTCTCTCTCTCTCTCTCTCTCTCTCTCTCTCTCTTTCTCTCTCTCTCTCTTTATATATATATATATATATATATATATATATATATATATATATATATATATATATATATATATATATATATATATATATATATATAACTATCTATCTTTCTCAGTTTCGGAGGAGATAGAGAAGCCCCTACTTCGTTGATCACGGAAATTTTTACCAAATGGCGGGTTGTCAAAAATTTTGCAGAGAAGAACCACTCCAACAAAACCCACACAAACCTTAGCATCATTACCTGGAATCACCAGACAATATCACGTTTCCCAAATATCCTGAGTAGAAGGCGGAAGCAGTTATTCAAACAGACTTTAAGTTTAAGTCAAACATGGTGAGCCTGAACAATTTCCAAGAAGGCAAAAGAGAAAACTCGCCAGAATTTCAGAATCCTGGACTTTTATTAGAAGGGACTCTCCTTCAAACAATACCATTACCTTTTGCTCTATTCTCCGCATCGCCCTCGTCTCTTCTCGGAAAGCCAGAAGTGAAAATGTTCATATATTTCATCTCATTGCTTTTGTATTTATATATTTTATTATTAAGCAGTGATGGAGTTGTTGTTGTTTTTTTTTTTTCGGGAGCAAAACTAAACATCATAACCTGTACAGTCCGTGGCGACAGCACTAGCCGTGCGGTCCTAAATCCTCAGGCTCACGACCCTCTGTATACGTGGCCCTCAAAAGTGGTACATACAGACAGTAGTGACAGTTTGACAGAATTAAGAAGTGTTGAAATGTTTGCATGCAATGTTTACGATGCCAATAACAACAGGATTTTCTTTCTCGTGGAAACGGATTAATTATTCTCCTTTTATTTGTCATGGACAACCGTGTTTTTATACCTCCAAGGGTCTGGAACGGATTAAGGACGTACATCAAGGCACCACTGTGTTTGTTTATACATATCACGGCACTTCAGATACAATTTTATTTTGGTTTCCCATTCAGCCAACTATTATTATTGTTGTTATTATTTAGCACTTAAACAAGGATAAGGTATCTTGACCTCATCCCCAGAAAATGTCAAGAAATTAGCGTCCCTACAGTCTCTGTGTTTTCTTTGTGCCAGAGCCCCTGTTCACGGATATACTAGAGTTGGACCATGTGTTGGCATACGGTTCGTCATCTGTCCAATCAGTGTCAAGATCACAGGCAATCACGACAATAATCACTGCCTAAATCACAGGCAGTCAAGATGATAATCACTGTCTAGATCACAGGCAGTCAGGACAATAATCACTGTCGAGATCACAGGCCATCACGACAACAATCACTGTCTAGATTACAGGCAGTCAGGACAATAATCACTGTCTAGATCACAGGCAGTCACGACAACAATCACTGCCAAGATCACAGGCAGTCACGACAACAATCTCTGCCGAGATCACAGGCAATCACGACAACAAACACTGTCTAGATTACAGGCAGTCACGACAATAATCACTGCCGAGATTACAGACAGTCACGACAATAATCACTGTCAAGATTACAGGCAGTCACGACAATAATCAATGTCTAGATTACAGGCAGTCACAACAATAATCACTGTCAAGATTAAAGGCACACGACAATAATCACTGCCGAGATAACAGACAGTCACGCCAACAATCACTGCCGAGATTACAGACAGTCACGATAATAATGACTGCCGAGATCTCAGGCAGTCAGGGCAATAATCACTGTCTAGATTACAGGCAGTCACGACAATAATCACTGTCTAGATTACAGGCAGTCACGACAATAATCACTGTCTAGTTTACAGGCAGTCACGACAGAAATCACTGCCGAGATCTCAGGCAGTCACGAAAATAATCACTGTCTAGATTACAGGCAGTCACGACAATAATCACTGTCTAGATTACAGGCAGTCACGACAATAACCATTGCCGAGATCTTAGGCAGTCACGACAATAATCACTGTCTAGATTACAGACAGTCACGATAATAATCACTGTCTAGATTACAGGCAGTCACGACAAAAATCACTGCCGAGATCTCAGGCAGTACGACAATAATCACTGTCTAGATTACAGGCAGTCATGGCAATAATCACTGTTTAGATTACAGGCAGTCACGACAATAATCACTGTCTATATTACAGGCAGTCACGACAATAATCACTGTCTAGATTACAGACAGTCACGACAATAATCACTGTCTAGATTATAGGCAGTCACGACAATAATCACTGTCTAGATTACAGGCAGTCACGACAATAATCACTCCCGAGATCTCAGGCAGTCACAATAACCGGTATTGCTTCAATAAGAAGTAGCGACGTCTGTAATTGTCTGCGTCAGGACAGCGTCAATAATAAGTCACATGAACATAATTTATTAAATTATTGATAGCATTAGTATAGGATAAATGTTGTTTTCAAATACTTAAAGTTGTTGCTGTGTTTGTCTGACACTGTATTACATTTTCTTAGGAGGCATTGGAGAAGCAGCTCATGGTAGAAGACAACATAACTGAGAGCAGAAATGAGGCATAGACCCGAATAACATCTCTGGACAGTCATTAGCTGAGGAAACCTATGTTTAAAAACAAACACTCCCCCCCCCCCTCCCCGCGCCCCACCTTTACACAAAAGAAAACATGTTTATTCTTTCCAGTTATTACCTTTACATTCGTAGTATTAAAGAAAGATTATGTTTGGCAACGAGATGAGATTTTTGTCAACTGTATCATATCATGAAATATATGTGTACACATAGATTGATACATTTTGCTAGATACTGAGAGACTTAAAGAAGTATATTGCCAACGTCAGTCGACAAGACACTTGATGATGATACATTTAAACAGTTGTTGATATAGATGTCTCATTCACCAACTGTAACACAACTCAGACGTTCATCTCCATGAATCATTCTGGGCCACACAATCCATCAGTCACAACAAATTATAACTGCCCTTCCTAAACATGCTGAAGCTGCAGTCTCTGAGATGTTATTCTCAACTGTCCCACAAAACAACACAGACCGACATACAACGGTTTCTTGCCGTTCAGTTTGCTTGAAATGCAATCGTCACTGACACACCATGTTTGCAACTATCTCGCCATGTAATTTATTACCCAAAAAAAGTAAATCAGTTAATGCTTTCGGCAATCTTTAATTTAAAACTTTGACAGTCAAAACACTCACATTGTCACGTCATATCTAACCAGTTTGGAGCTATGTTTAATGTGTTGCTAATTAAAAAACACGATCCTGGTTCAACAGAATGTGATCATTGCCTAAATGTGTGGGGATTAGGCTATTATGCTTGCATATGTGCTGCCTTACAAGATGGTACTCGTCTAGTTCTTGAAACACTTTGACATAGATAATTAATGAACTCAATACTTCACAATATTTCCTTCGGCAACAAAATGACAAATGAGAGAGGATTCAGACTACTGGAATTTTGCAAATTCAACAACCTCCTCTTAGCTAACACATTACACAAGCACAAGGCATCAAGAATTTTGACACGGCACTCACCAGGTGGCGAACATCACAACCAAATTGTCTACATACTAGTCCAAAAACATTTTAAATCTGGGATAAATAAAGCGAAGACAAAGAGCTATCCAGCAGCTAATATAGGAAGTGACCACAGTATGGTGCTGCTAAATTGTAGAATCCATCTCAAACGTTTAACACGTGCCAAAACCATATGACAGAAATACGACATTGACAGACTAAAGGATTCGATAGCGGTGGAAATTTTCAGAGTCAAAATTGTAGGAAAGTTTGCTCCTCTTATATGAACAGCGCAGAAACACTAACAAATGAATTCACCAAAATAATAAATGAAACAACAGAAGAAATTGTTGGGATACACAAAAAAAACCAAAGCAACCATGGGTCACTTGTGACCAGCGAAGGCATCTCAAGAAAGACAGGCACAATCCTCAGCTAGCAGACAAGTATAGAGAGATAAATGTTCAGATTACAAAAGACATGCGACAGGCAAAAGAAAGTTGAATAGAAAGCAGATGTGCAGAAATAGAAGATTGGAACAAGCTGAACAACAGTAAAAGCGTTTTTAACATTATTTCAAACATCAGTCGAGAGAAAACGTCAAGAAGTAACGCCATCCAAGACACAGAAGGTAACCTACTCACACACAGAAAGTAATGACATCCTAAATAGATGGTCTGAATACTGTTCGGGCTTGTATAACGAACAAACAAATAGCAACAACGACATCCTTGACAACAGTCAAGAACAGGAAAATAACAGCTTTCCCATACTCCGGGATGAAGTAGAATTGGCCTTCAGAACTAAAAAAAAAAAAAAAGCAGACCAAGAAAGACCAGGTTACAGAACCTGACTGGACAGACCTCAGGCATGCAACCATGAAGTCCATCGCAGCTGACCGCCACAGGTGGAGAGAGGTGATCAGTCAACAGAAACGGATGACCCAACGACACGTACTGTTACGGGATGATGATGATGATGTATAATTCACATGTAGAAAGAAATGGTAGTAAGACTTAGAACCTGTTACTCAAATTCAAAAAACGTAAAAGATGCGGACGGTTTTCAACATAACATTTAAAAAGAATATGGGCCATTTTATCAAGTTGCAGCCGAGACCATGAGAATGAAAACAGTGGTCCACTCAGGAAGAGAAAAAAGCACGTGTGCGAATGCCCTGACGTCAATTCACTCATTCCTTAGTTAAATCATACAAACCAATATAACTAGACAAACACACATACAGATGATAGTAAAGTTCATGACAGCCTCAACATATCAGGCAGATCAGATCAGAATCACCAGAGGTCAGGTGTTCCTACACCACACTTGTCAAAGGTCGCATGCTTTTTTCTTCAAGCCTAACACCTGGCTGCCACAGCCAGGGTGATTAAACACACACCTTTCTCGAGACCTGCCTGATATGTTCAGTGTTTAAGTATGATAACAGTGATGTTTGGCTAAAATAAAATAACAGCTCACGTCTGAAATGTTCTTACTGTGGTAAGTAAAGAGTGTCGTCAGTAAAGTGCGCTCTCAGTAAAGTATGTTGCCAATAAAGTTCACAGGCGTTGAATGAAAAGTCCTAGATGCGATCGCATCTGCCCAGAATACACAGAAATTGAGAGAAGTGATGGGTTACACTCAAACCGACCATCGAAGCATAGGGCACGGAAAAGTCAGTTGGTGGTCCAAAGCCACAGCCAAGACATGGTGATACAGCAGATAAGTGGACACCGAAAACGAAGTTCGGGTCCAAAAATCCGCGCAACAGTCGCAGCAAGGTCAGTGGATTGGCCTGGATAGCGCCTTGCTACGAGTACTCACATGGGGTGAGATCTGGCGAATGGCCCCGCTGCCACTGAGATTTATCGTACTTTCTGCCTACGATGTATTACCGCCCGGTGTTAACATGGTAAAGTGGAGTGCGTCTAACGTCCCGACATGCCCACTATGTAGAGCTAAACAGACGCTCGAGCACACATTGTCCGCGTGCAGAAAAGCCCTACGTCAGGGCAGGTCAACTTGACGCCACAACAAGGTGCTGAAAGACTTAGCGGCCATTGTGGACCAAGCTAGGATGAGGGCCAATGCGAGGGCCAGTCCTACTATCGTCCCCGTGCGCTTCCTTAAGGCTGGGCAGATTCATAAAGGTAAACTCAACAAAGACGCATATGCTCCATCGACGCTTGACTGTGCGAGGGACTGGTTACTAGCTGTTGACCTGCCTGGTCACGAAAAGTAACCTGAGTTAATCCGAAAGACTGGCCTGCGACCCGACATAGTCCTACACTCTACGGAGAAATGTCAGCTCATCCTGACCGAGCTGACCGTGCCGTATGAGTCGCGAATGGACGAAAGCCACATGAACAAGCTCGAGAAGTACAGTGACTTAGCGGCTGGTCTGAGGAGAGACGAAGAGTACACAGTAAGAATCCTCGAGTTAGGCGCAAGAGGTCTCATTTCCACTTCATTATACAACGTGATTAAACCACTAGGCTTGCGGGGAAATGAGCGCAAACGAGCAATGAAACAACTGGATGAGGCTGCTGAGAGGGCCTCGAGCTGGCTCTGGACACAACGGAACGTCGTAGGGGATGGGCCTCGGTGAGCTGGTCCGGGTGTCTAGTGGATAAGAAAGTCTTATCCCTTAAAGTCCATCGTGTCCGAATTGTCTTCCAGTGTTGCTCTGCCATCTGCAAAAAAAAAAAATTCTAACATGTGTCAGATAAACCAACATTAAGTTTGCCACTTGGTCTTCCAGGTAAGCTGACTGCTCTAATTATGCTACAGAAGCGACTATGTAAATACACTTCGTATCTCACAGTAACTTTTGCAAAGTCACCAGTTAGTCTTGTCCCTGTCCGAGAACATCCGGTAATATGTGCAGCAGGAGAAAATCAAACCTGAGCCTCATGAACTCAGGTGGGTCCACTCTCTGAAAATGTATAGGAGCTCGTCAGCCGAAACATTTGTCGACGAGAGATTACTTCTACCGATGGTTGGTAGACTCCTGCTGTACATACTTCCCTGTGGAGTTTCTTCTTTTTGTTGTCAGTAAAGTGTGTTGTCAGTAAATTGTGTTATCAGCAAAGTGTGTTGTCAGTAAAGTGTTTTCTAGGTTGAGTGTCTTCTTATTTTGTCTTCTAACTCCCAGTGCAGCAAAGGCCCTCAGTTGCTTCAACTCACAGACCAAAGTCAAATACAGTAGTTCTTCTTGAACGTCACAGACAATATGTTTAGCTATGACAAACTGGCAAGTCTCTACGCACATAAATAGCATTTTTACACTCCAATATTTTTTATGTATTCGAAAATTGTGAAGACTGTTTCTTGACACTGAGAAAAAAAGAACACTTTCACAAACACATTTTTGTTACAAACAGCTTTTGCCATTCATAGCAAACTGTGTACTTTTTAACCGTGTCGCCATCTCTAAAAGCTTTCCTTTGTTTTGTGTCACTTCTTGTGGTACTAAAGTGAGAAGCAATTTGCGCTATCTGCATGGAGTCTTCAGATTTTCTCTTCTAGATGACATTTTTGCAGTATCACCAACACCCCCCCCCCCACCCCCACCTTTTCCACCTTTTCCACCTCACCTCTTAAAATTAAATAAGTAAATAAATAAAAACACAATGACAAGATTCACAGTGTTACACGAGAAAACACCAGCTGAAATACACATGGATATGGGATCTGATTTTTATGATGCCTGGCTTGAAACATTTTCGTTTAAACGGATCAACAACTCATTATGCAGCTTCAGTGTAATTACTCCAAAATTGCCAATCTGTCCCGATTTGAAAGATCATTACCAGAGTGCTGTGGCAGAAATGCAGCATGAGTAAAAGTATTTATTGATGCTGATAGAAAAAATTACACAGTTAAACCCAGAGGAACAGTTAACAGAAATGTTACATAGCAAGCATAGCATGAGAAAAGTCTGTGCCTACTGGCTTTTGTCAATACTGAGAAAAAATAGGAAGCAATTTAAAAGCATCATGTTCAGCTTTTAATCTTTACA